ACATGTAAGCATTAAATCAGTTACTTCTTTGAGGAGAAAATTTTCTATAATCAAATTAAATTTTCAGCATCATAATGATGAATCAGCAACTATTATGTCATCAATTTTTCCAAGAAAAAATAAAAGGAAAGAAAAGGGAAAGAAAATCCCATCATATATACATCATCTCTGTATTGCATTCTGTAATACACAAACAAACACATGCATGAATGAACCATCAATATTCACTTGGGCATAATATCAAACACATAATCTGCAACAAAACACACACACACACACACACAAAGAATCATTACATAACTTGAGCCTGCTATCAAATACATAATCAGCAACACACACACACACACACACACACACACAAAGAACAATACATAACTTGACAGCAAATACATACAATTAACCTGTAAAACGCGCGCACACACACACACACACACAGAGAACGAACAAACATTACAGAAAGAATGAAAACCTGTTGGTGAAAAGTGCGCCGAGGAAAAAGCTAATGAAACACAGAATTGCAATCCATTTAAGCGACACCATCGCTCTGCTTCTGTTCTTCGTCCCCATTTTCTTGATTGTACTGAGTACTGATCGAAAGGCGAAGTTTTCTCGTATAAGAAAAAGAGAGATTAACCCATCAAAAAGATGAACAAATCCCAGCAAAAAAAGAGCATGGATTTATTAGTCGATCAGTTACAGATAAAGGGGCTCGAAAAATGGCGAAGATTGTTGAGATAAAAATGGTGGTTTCATCTTCCTACTTTTCGACGCGTGTGATAAATTTCTATGTATTTGTTTTGGTTTGGTTGTTCGTTATTAACTCGATTTCCATTAATGGATTTTGTTTGGGGTTAGACGTGATGACTTGGTAGTGGCTTCCATGAACGATTTTTTCAATTATTTTTAGGGAAAATTGTACATCACCCCCTAAAAAATTCTAGTTTGTGCACTTTACCCCCTCAAAATTTTAAGAAGTGACAAAATGTTATTCTTGTTGCACATTTTAGCGAAATTTCAATGGATTATTCAACGGCATTCGAGTATTTTTTGTTGCACATTGTCCCTTTATATGTTATTTTTGTTGCACATTACCCCTTACAAACATTATATTTTTGCACATTACTCCTTTAAAATTTTATTCTTGTTGCGCATTGCCCCTTTAAAATGTTATTCTTGTTGCACATTGTCCCTTTAAAATGTTATTTTTGTTGCACATTACCCCAAAATAGCAAACAATCGATGGATTGTCCATCGGCATTTGAGTATTTTTGTTGCACATTGTCCCTTTATATGTTATTTTTGTTGCACGTTACCATTTAAAAACATTATCTTTTTGTATATTGCCCCCTTTAAAATGTTATTTTTGTTGCACTATACCCATCAAAAATTGGCTTTTGGGGCAAGATGCAACCAAAATAATATTTTGAAGGCGATTATTCAGTTTTTGAATTTTTAGGAGGAAAAGTGTGAAAATGGGAAATTTATAGGGGGTAAAGTGCATTTTATCCTTATTTTTATTATTTTCTTTTTCTTTTTACAATAATAACAATAATAGTCATCAAGGACAA